GCACACCTGTGTAGGACGAAATTAGCTTCCAACACACCTGTGTAGGACGAAATTAGCTTCCAGCACACCTGTGTATGACGAAATTAGCTTTCAGCACACCTGTGTAGGACGAAATTAGCTTCCAGCACACCTGTGTAGGACGAAATTAGCTTCCAGCACACCTGTGTAGGACGAAATTAGCTTCCAGCACACCTGTGAAGGACTAAATTAGCTTCCAGCACACCTGTGAAGGAGGAAATTAGCTTCCAGCACACCTGTGAAGGACGAAATTAGCTTCCAGCACACCTGTGAAGGACGAAATTAGCTTCCAGCACACCTGTGTAGACGAAATTAGCTTCCAGCACACCTGTGTAGGACGAAAGACACAACTGATCAGCTCAGCAGTTCAGTGTCTACTGCACTAAACAACAGAATTGCGTCCAGGGGCGCGGCAGCTGACAGGAATCGAACAGAATAGGCCGACGCTCTCACAAACCTAAGAATAGCGTTCTGATACCTCAGTAAGGAATCATTGAAGACTCTGTACTCCATATACGTCAGGCCTATATAGGAGTATGCAGCACTAGTTTGGAATCCACACCTGGACTAGCACGTCAAGAAATTAGAGAAAGTGCAAAGGTTTGCAACAAGACTAGTCCCGGAGATGAAGTGATTGTCCTACGAATAAAGTTAAAGGAAATCGGCCAGATGACACTGGAGGACAGGAGGGTCAGGGGAGACGTGATAGCGACTTATAAAATTCTGCGAGGAATTGACAAGATGGACAAAGACATGATGTTCCAGAGATGTGTCACAGAAACAAGGGGTCACAATTGGAAGTTGAAGACTCCTATAAGTCAAAAGGATGTTAGGAAGTATTTCTTGAGTCATAGAGTAGTGAGAAAGTTGAATAGCCTAGAAAGTGAAGCAGTGGAGGCAGGAACCATACATAGTTTAAAGACGAGGTATGATTAAGCTCATGGAGCAGGGAGAAAGAGGACCTAGTAGGAATAATTGAAGAGGCGGGGCCAGAAGCTATGAATCGACCAATGCAACAACAAATAAGTGAGTACAAGACGTCACGAGCCAATTGCCTCAACACACAAGAGTTCACGTGATAACACGGGCGAATCCATTATCCGACCACTCCTGTTCACGCTGGTCAATGGGCATATCGTTGATACACACTTTATTTTCAGTAAATTTAAGACTTTATGCACCAATCTTTAGTATATTACCAAATATAGTGAACATTCTGTGGACTACTCAAAATGTTACCATGGACCACAAGTGGTCCAAGGACCACCAGTTGTGAACCACTGCTCTAGTCTCTTTCAACCATTTCTTGATTCTGTTAATAATCTTACAATTTCCATTAAGTTTAAAGTTGAATGGGAATCTAATTCCTTGCTTCCTTTCCTTGATGTTCATGTCCACCGCTCAGATACAGGTTTTGCCTTTTCCGTTTACTACAAACCTATGCACAGTGGCATGTACATTCATTACTTTCTTTTCTTATCATACTTCCTCTGTCAAGAAAAGCGTTCTTATCACCCTCTTTCTCCCTGCTCTCCGCACTTGTGATCCTGAGTTTCATGAATGAGAAATTTCCACTCTTCATAATTCATTTTCTAGTCTTAGCTACACTTTCCATTTCACAGACTCTGCCTTCTCATGTGCTAAACGGATTTTCTTCCCTCCCAAACTCTCTACTCCTGCTAACTCTCCTGTCTTCTGCCTTCCCTATATTTCCAGTCTTTCTGATGTCTACAACTCTCTCCGTTCCTTAGACATCAAACTTACTTTTCGCCAGACTAACATTCTTCGCAACAATCTATACTTCATACCTCCACTCCTTCCATAGTTGCTCCTGGTGTCTACTCTGTTTCTTGTTCCTCTTGTCCTCTTCAGTACTCTGGAGAAACTGGCCGTTCTGTTTGTGACAGACTCAGGAAGCAGAAAAAGTAGTGTTAGGCTTTCCGACACCAACAATGTTCTTCTCTGCCATGTTAAAGATCACAGTCATCCCAATAACTGGTCTTCTGCTAAAACTATCTACCCTACTTCTAACCTTCACAGTCGCCGTCTGGTTGAATCCTCTATTATTCATAACTTTTCTTATACGAATCTTAGTCGTGGCTTTGTCTCTGTCGATGCCTTCCTTTCCCATTATATTGTAAAATGCTCCGAACTTCAGAACACCCGTGACTTAACCTGATTCTTTTTTTCCCTTTCCCCTTTCCTCTTTCTCCTCTGGGTTTTCTTTCTTCTGCCTTGTGTATTTAGTCCATTATTATTATTTCCCCCCCCCTCTGAGCTATTGTTCCTAGCCTTTGTGGGTCCCTAGCTACCTTGTGGGTCCCTAGCGGGTTATTTGTGAGATTTCTAAGTTAGGTTTGGTGAGGTTTTTAAGTTAGGTTTGGTGAGGTTTTTAAGTTAGGTTTGGTGATATTTCTAAGTTATGTTAGGTGTAGTTTCTAATGTAAGACGAGGTTTCTAAATTTCTTTAGGTGAGGTTTATAAGTTAGATTAGGTGAGGTTTCTAAATTAGGTCAGGTGAGGTTTCTAAGTTAGGTTAGGTGAGGTTCCTAAGGTTTCTAAGTTCCTAGGCTCTAATTCTGCCGTACATTAACATCTCCATTCAAGGCAACTGAAATGGCAGCTCTTGAGAATGTGTAGAGAACTTTTACTGCACATTTAAGGTCCGTCAAGCACCTTAAGTACTGGGAACGCCTGGAAGCACTTGACTTGTACTCAGTGGAGCGCAGACGAGAGAGATGTATCATAATCTACACCAGGAAAATCCTGGAGGGACTGGTTCCGAATCTGCACACAGAAATCACTCCCAGTGAAAGCAAAAGAGTTGGCAGGTGATGTAACATACCCCGGACACAATAAGTGTCCGGGGCCCAAGATTGTTCAACAGCCTCTCACCATGCATAAGGGGAATTACCAATAGACCATACCACGGGCGGGGATAGAACCCGCGATCAGAGAGTCTCAATACACTCAATAGACCCCTGGCTGTCTTCAAGATGGAGCTGGACAGATACCTAAAGTCATTACTGCATCAGCCGGGCTGTGGCTCGTATGTTGGACTACGTGGGGTCAGCAGAAACAGCCTAGTTGACGAGGCCATGATCCACCGAGAGGCCTGGTCATGGACCGGGGGGCGTTGATCGCCAGAATACCTTCCAGGTAGACTCCAGGTAGGTTACTAAATTACGTTAGATAAGGTCTCCTAGTTAAGTTTGGTTCATAAATAAGAATATTTATATTATTGTCAGTGAAAAGAAAAAACTATCATTTTGTAAAATATATTTTTTTTGATGGGATAAAGTTGCTAAAAGTGTTTCCACCTTTCTACTTGGAAGACGTTTCGCCGATCAGTGGTTGTATCAATTCACTGTAACGTTTTGACCCATTTCGTTTGATTCCATGTCCTTAAGGGAACACGAAGAACCACTACTAAGTCTGTTAGGTATAAGGACACAAGTGCAACTAATACGTCAATTTATTGTAGCAACGTTTCGCTCTCCAGAAACTTTTATTAAAGAAAATAAGATACCAGATGTTATAAACACCCTAAATTTGCTTCTAACAGATGAAATATGAATAATAAATATATATTCAGCAGCACTCTTCCTAGCCGTTAAGGAGCCTACTTGCTAGGCCTCTTGTGCATCGAAATATTCTTGAGATATCCTCCACAAGATAGATATCCTCCACAAGATAGATATCCTCCACAAGATAGATATCCTCCACAAGATAGATATCCTCAAGGATCCTCCACAAGATAGATATCCTCCACAAGATAGATATCCTCCACAAGATAGATATCCTCCACAAGATAGATATCCTCCACAAGATAGATATCCTCCACAAGATAGATATCCTCCACAAGATAGATATCCTCCACAAGATAGATATCCTCCACAAGATAGATATCCTCCACAAGATAGATATCCTCCACAAGATAGATATCCTCCACAAGATAGATATCCTCCACAAGATAGATATCCTCCACAAGATAGATATCCTCCACAAGATAGATATCTCCACAGTAATATCCTCCACAAGATAGATATCCTCCACAAGATAGATATCCTCCACAAGATAGATATCCTCCACATAAAAATAGATATCCTCCACAAGATAGATATCCTCCACAAGATAGATATCCTCCACAAGATAGATATCCTCCACAAAAATAGATATCCTCCACAAGATAGATATCCTCCACAAGATAGATATCCTCCACAAGATAGATATCCTCCACAAAATAGATATCCTCCACAAGATAGATATCCTCCACAAGATAGATATCCTCCACAAGATAGATATCCTCCACAATAGATATCCTCCACAAGATAGATATCCTCCACAAGATAGATATCCTCCACAAGATAGATATCCTCCACAAGCTAGATATCCTCCACAAGATAGATATCCTCCACAAGATAGATATCCTCCACAAGATAGATATCCTCCACAAGATAGATATCCTCCACAAGATAGATATCCTCCACAAGATAGATATCCTCCACAAGATAGATATCCTCCACAAGATAGATATCCTCCACAAGATAGATATCCTCCACAAGATAGATATCCTCCACAAGATAGATATCCTCCACAAAATAGATATCCTCCACAAGATAGATATCCTCCACAAGATAGATATCCTCCACAAGATAGATATCCTCCACAAGCTAGATATCCTCCACAAGATAGATATCCTCCACAAGATAGATATCCTCCACAAGATAGATATCCTCCACAAGATAGATATCCTCCACAAGATAGATATCCTCCACAAAATAGATATCCTCCACAAGATAGATATCCTCCATAAGCTAGATATCCTCCACAAGATAGATATCCTCCACAAGATAGATATCCTCCACAAGATAGATATCCTCCACAAGATAGATATCCTCCACAAGGGTACAAGGTAAACTAGCCGCTTCAGCGAACAAATTTAATCTAATCGAATGTCTCTCTGTATCTCCAACACTCAG